TAAAGTTTGACTATTATCATCAAGAACTTTGAACATATATCTCACAGAGAGAGAAGAAAATATGGAGTTTTATCTTACAATGCATAAAATCTCTGTCTGTGTGTCTGTCAGGACACAAGCAACCAAGCTCGCCACACAGGTACATCTTAGGCCCCTGAGCGTTTGTATCTATAGCAGATATCATGAGACCATGACATTGCCAAGCAGCCAACTAGCAACACGCTAAAATGACCCATTTTTAGCATTGTGCACCTGTGATACCTTATAAAAGTGTGCTGTTTTAATTTTTCACAGTAACTTTTAATTATATCCACAGGAGTTGAAGTAGGCATGATATAATATAATGTCATGACATTGCCTGGCAGCCACCTGGCAACTAGCTTAAGTTACCCATTTTAGCAAACAACCATCACTGTTATTTTTGATTAAGTTTTCTCAGTGTGAATAACTAAATCAGTTTCCTAAAGGCACCAACAATATTGTGGGACGGGCTTGTACTCGCTTCCAAAATCTGCACTTCCAAGTACATAAATCTATATGCTGAATTTGGTGTGATGCAATGAAATGCTCAAGAGTAAAAAATAAATTGGCCTTGAAATTGTTTTCTCTTGTGGAGCTGACCCAAACCAAAATCAGATCAAAAATACAAAACATGTTTTCTCTTCTTTTCTTACCTCTTAGAAAGGGTCTAAAATACACAATTCAGTCTTGTTCATGCAATATTACTTTTCATAGTCTGCAGAGTACATTAACACCAGTCATTGTACTGAATATAATCCATTTACTGTGAATAAGCTTCAGACAGCTAAGTTTTCTTCACAAAGTTAAACAGCTTGTTCACACTGTTCACACCCAAACCCGTAATAACAACACGTGATGTGTGCATATATGTGTGTGGGAGCCTCTATATCTGGCTTTTTCCATATCACTGAAATCCCTTAAGCATTCTATGTGTATGTTTTGATGTACAGTACGCATATGTGTGGTGGTGCATTTGTGCATTTCTGTGTGAAGGTTAATTAATTCCCAGGACAGGAACACTCAGGGTTTACGCGATTATAAATTTTATAATTGGGGTCTCCATGCTTTGTGCATGCAAAAACCTCAGCTGGGTACCAACGGTGATGCTTCCATGAGCGTAGCGGCAGAGGCAGAAATAAACTGTTCAACAGATCAACAGTCCAGTCTTTCTTTTTGATTTTGATTTTTACAACAGTGGATTAGTGTGCCATATTTACAGCACAGATTGGCTGGCCCAATTAAAGAAAAACCAGAACAAAAAAGATAATTTCACGAGAAAGAAGGAAAAATAATGTATATGTCCAACTCAGGCTACGTCCACACGTACCCGGGTATTTTTGAAAATGCAGATTTTTCTATGCGTTTGCACCTTTCGTCCACATGTAAACTGCGTTTTTGGTCACTGAAAACAGAGATTTTTAAAAACTCCGGCCAGGGTGGATATTTTTGAAAACTCCGTTTTTGCATTTACCTGTGGACGAGAAAAATGGAGAAAACACAGAAAATGCAGCGTCAAAGGTGTGCGCATTTTAATAATAATAATGGATTGGATTTATATAGCGCTTTTCAAGGCACCCAAAGCGCTTTACAATGCCACTATTCATTCACTCTCACATTCACACACTGTTGGAGGCAAGCTACGGTTGTAGCCACAGCTGCCCTGGGGCAGACTGACAGAGGCGAGGCTGCCATATCGCGCCATCGGCCCCTCTGGCCAACACCAGTAGGCAGTAGGGTAAAGTGTCTTGCCCAAGGACACAACGACCAGGACAGAGAGGCCGGGGATTGAACCGGCGGCCTTCCGGTTACAGATGCGCTTCCCAACCCCCTGAGCCATGGTCGCCCCGCTTTTTTGACGTCACACTGTGCACCACGTTATTGTTTCGGTGAAATGAATTTCTACAATACTATTACTGTTAATTGTACTCTCTGCAGTGTTTAAATGCTTACATATACACACACAGTTACTGTCCCTCCACACATATGGCTCGGTTCTGCTTCTGCCCCAGCTTTGTTTACTTTTTCCCACCGAGGCTTCTAGACTTCTGATTGGCCAACATTTCTGCAAGGTTAGGAATATATCGCCACCTGTTGCTTTGGCATGTTCCTAGCAGCGTTTCCTTCATTTCTGCATTTACATGTGGACGGGATTATTTTTTAAAACAAAAACAGAAAATCTCCATTTTCAAAAATACCCGTGTACGTGTGGACGTAGCCTTAAAGTGTATAATCCTAAACTAAATCAAAATAATAAATAAACACCTGGGCTAAACCCTCTTTAGCTAGGGCCCTGGCAATAAAGTCACTGCGATCTGCTTACAATCATCATCAGACACACAAGAGTCTTCAAGAGCTGCTGCAACTTTTAACTATATAGTCAGCAGCCCCTCCCACTCCAAGAAACATTTAAATACCAATTAAAATACACCAATACACTTAAAACAGTGCTCAATCTATCATTTAAATACAATGGGACTACATAAATATATTCAGCAATGTCTGTGCTCTTTAACGTTTTGCAATCAACACATCCATTAATATCAAACAACATTCCCTCTACTTCATACCACACTTGGAATGTTCCCTTACTGGAATTTCACCCTAAAAGAGATCCAAAAACACCTGGACTGGTTTTTCAGTTCATGCGTTTAATCTGCGTGGAGGCTAGCTGCAGTCAGGAGAGGTGAGAAACAAACGAATCGTATACAAATCTTAAAACCATCACTTGCAATCAAACTAGCTTCGTGACTTTAGAGCAATTGTGCCAGCAATCAAAAAAGAATCACTAGCCTATTACATTACGCCTAACACTAAGAGACAGACAACCATGCACGCTCACACCTGTGGGCAATTTAGATTCACCAATTAACCTAACCCCACTCTCTGCATGTCTCCTGTATTCTCCACTGGTTTCTTTTCACATTTAATCCAGATCCCAAAGATATCATTTTAATATATAAAACTGATACTTTCCAACTGAAGTATTTACTAAGGAGATACTAAATTATTTCTTTTTACAATCTTTAAACTTTAGTTTAGTTGCTATTGATTCACTGAATGGAAAAGCCAGATGGTCCCTTGTGTGAATGGCTCCTGAGAAATATTAAGATGTGTTCCTTTTGTATTCTGCTCCGTGTGAGACGAGCCTATGGGAGAAACAGTTGGGAGTGAGCAGTTGAAGCTTGTTTGGCCTCCAGTTGACAAAGCAGGGATCTTAGCAGGTCAGGTGAGCAGCAGGGAAGATAAGCTCTTGTCTCCTGGGATGGGTTTACCTGCAGAGAGAAGGACTAAAATCGGACCCACCCTGGGAATTTCACACTGTGATGCTCGAGATGTCTTGGGGGTTGTTGTTTTGTTTTGTTTTTTTTACCTTGGAGACAATTATGTACGCATTCAACTGCAGAAGACACAGTTGAGATAAACATAGAATCAAGGTTAGCAGCCTGTAAAATTCAAAGCCAGGTAAGATGTGATTGCCATGTTCTAGAGGAAAATAACAGCACATTCATCTGTGGGGTAACATTTACCAAGAAAGAGACATGAGTTCCATCTGCTGGCCAAAGATGGAGAAACACCAAGTAGTAACAGGCATAATGTAAAATACAAACGGACTGTATGCACGCTGAGGTTTAACAGCATTATTTAAATATCTAAATATACATTTGATTCAGTCTCTACCATAACCATTTATTAAAACTTGTATAAACATTGTGCCTTTTAAGGAGTTGACACTTTAAAATCAAAGAAATGTATACAGTAAGATGCTTACAGCTTGCTTACAGCAAAAAGTAATGCTATTCTGTACTGAGTAAAATTTAAGCTCCAAAGTATAATCCTATGAGCTATTTGGTTAAAACTGAGCAGCTATTGTTTTGGTGTTCCTACTGTAATCTCAATAAATGGTTAATTGCTGTAAAATATAAATGAATAGCATGTCTTATGTAACCTGAATTCTTGTCTTTTATGAACTATGACAAGACTCAAGTGTTAACCATCATGCCCTATTCAAACTACAACTTCCCACTGTTATTGGTCACACAGTCACTGGAAACCATAACACATTCTCATAAAAATGTAAAAATGCAAAGTAATTGACTATAGCAATCAAACCTTTTAAGTAATTGAATTGAGTGGGGGGAAAATCATTCCCATGAGTCTTAGTATCACCAAAGAAAAAATAGTTATACTGTAAAAATTGATTTCCTTACAGTGTTCAGACATATTAATAAAGAACTATACATTAGTGCATGGACAATTTTTACACATAAATTGTTATTTGAAAAAAAGTTTTGAATATGCTGAACATTTTACAAATAATATACTAGAAATGTTTCTCAGTCTGACCACATTTTGAATGCATCCATGTGTGCATTATCTGAGTGAGAGGAGTTCTGAGTGCAGATGCAGTCATTCACTCGTCATAAATTTTGACAGAAAAAATGGAATGTGTGCTGTGTGTAGAGGAATGTTAACAAGCAGAGCTCCTGCTGATAAAGTGAAGCTGACATCCATGCAGTGGCCACTCAGGTGAAAATAAGGAATATTAATAAAGCGGCCTCTGTCATTTTTTTGTTTGTTTTGTTTTTCTGTTGTCTCATATCATTTTTAGTTTTTGCTTAAAACGTGTATGTACACTGTGTAAAATAGCTTGACAGGACACCGTGAGATTTTAGTCTGTGTAGATTTTGTTGAAAGTAGCCCTCCTGCAGTCTACGCAGCTGCCTCCACAGCACCCTGACCTGTCTCCGTCTGAGCCCACAGGGCCTCTTCCAAGCTGTACACACATCCACAGTGTACAATGCAGAAAAGTGTTGATCTTTTAAACTGCTGTTAAATATTGCTTAAGTTTGGAAGACTGCTGGCTTTGTTCCCAGCTCAGACTGGGCGGGTGGGGTAAGAGCCAATGAGTGGTGAAAAAACAGACAGGATTGGGGGGTGGGGGTATTATTGCAGCCTGTGCTGCTTCTTCCTGCCACAGTGTCCAGCACATTCACCCTGTGACCTACAGCCACAGAGGGAAATGGAGGGAACCAGGATAAAGAAAGGGGGAAACAACGAGACGGATAAGAGAGATGATGAAGTGGTGTGCCTTCGGAGGCAGATCGGACTGCTGCCCGCCGTGTCCTTCATCATTGGGACTATGGTGGGCAGTGGGATTTTCATTGCACCGAAAGGAGTCCTGATGAACAGTGGCAGCGTGGGGTTATCTCTGCTGGTGTGGGTGCTATGTGGCGTCCTTTCTCTCTTTGGTAAGATGAATGATATTTCAGCTGATGTCTGCTTTTGTTCTACCTTTTTCCTGCTATTGTTCTGTGCACTTAAGTGTCAAATATGAGAAACAATGTGTTTTATGAGTAAATAGTAAAAAGCTAGATTTATGTTGGTGTCATGATTGCACAAGTGGACAGCCCAGTTCAGTCCTGGAAAGAGACACAAATCCATTTAGGGTTGCATCACGAATGGCATGTGGTGCATGAAAAATCTGCCATATCAAACATGTGGAGCTACCTGCAGCACTGTCAGTCTAGGTTGTTGTGTCCTTGGGCAAGACACTTCACCCGTTGTCTACTGGTGGTGGTCAGAGGGCCCGGTGGCGCAGTGTCCGGCAGCCTCGCCTCTGTCAGTGCGCCCCAGGGTGGCTGTGGCTACAATGTAGCTTGCCATCACCAGTGTGTGAATGGGTGGTGGATGACTGGATGTGTAAAGCGCTTTGGGGTCCTTAGGGACTAGTAAAGCGCTATACAAATACAGGCCATTTACCTTTTTTTTCACTGTTGTAAATAAGGGGAAGCTGAAAGTAGCTTTTAAAACTACTTAAAAGACATTCTAAAAATGTTGCCATTTAATAATTATAAAGTAAAAGTCATACTCTTATTTTTCCAAAACTCTGCTCTGCCTCTGGCCTATTAGGAGCCCTGTGTTATGCAGAACTGGGCACCACTTTTACAAAATCAGGGGGTCACTACACATACCTGCTGGAGACTTTGGGGCCTCTGCCTGCCTTCCTACGACTCTGGGTTGAGTTTGTATTCATCAGGTATGGTTTTTACTGGTTCAAAAAAAAAAAAATTAAACTGCCTCAAACATAATACTCACAAAGATATTGTCCACCTCTAGGCCAGCTGTTGCGTCTTATGTCTCCCTTGCCTTTGGTCGTTATGTGGTGGAGCCATTCTTCACACCCTGTGCTGCTCCCACAGTGCTCATCAGACTTGTCGGTATCCTTGGAGTGAGTGAGTGCTTTTATAACTCATCTGTGTCTGGAGCACTTTATGTGTAGAACAACACGTATCTTTAACCAGTTCTTTGTCTTTGTGTCGCTTCAGCGTTTGTCATAGCCGTCAATTGCTGGAGTGTGAACATGGCCTCTCGCACTCAGGTCACCTTGACTTTCATTAAAATTTTTGCCGTGGCCCTCATCATCATCCCAGGGTTCATTGCACTGGCCAAAGGTGACAGCACCTAATTGTTAAACCTAAGACAGAGTTGGTATTCAGCTCATTTATTCTCTCTGTCTTTGCAGGGAGGACAGAAAATTTTCAGAATGGTTTCGAGGTTGATTTGTTAACACTGGATAAGTTGCCACTGGCCTTCTATAGCGGCCTCTATGCCTATGGTGGATGGTAAGTGTACAGTGGTTTGAGGATCAGTGCAAATTCAATGTATTTTACTGTGTATCACACAGTATTCAAAACTCTTTCCCCCAGTAATGGTGAAAAGAACCATAAATTACATGACAATGTATGTACTATAACTAACAATCAAAGCTTTATGCCTGAGTCTTGGTTTTCTCTTTTCCTCTAGGTTTAATTTGAACTTCATCACAGAAGAAGTCATAAACCCTAATAGGTATTTTAGCATGAAACATCTGCTATAAAGTCTGTCGTTTTTTTTTTTGAAAACCAAGTTGCCTCCTGCTGTTATATCTCTCTGTGTGTATCTCGCTTTGTCAGAAACATGCCACTGGCAATAATCTTGTCCATTGTGGCAGTGACAGTCTTTTATGTGCTTATTAATGTGGCCTACTACACCATAATGACTCCCGCTGAGGTGCTTCTGTCAGATGCTGTGGCTGTGGTCAGTTCTATTTCTTGCTTTATGTATCATTAAAAAAAGGAAATGTGGTATGTCACTGTTGGTCTGATCTGCTGTTTGTGCCTCTGCAGACATTTGCCAACCATGCTTTTCAGGGGTTGGCTCCTGTGATCCCCATTCTTGTTGCCATATCTTGTCTTGGAACACTTAACGGTGGCTTCTTTGGGGCACCTAGGTAATCTGAGGACCATAAAGGTTTATTATTGTCATTTTTTTGTGTGTGTGCCTGAATTCTAATGAGAGCTCTGTGTTGCAGGATGCTGTTTGTGGGAGCCAGGGAAGGCCACTGGCCAGCCATCTTTTCCATGATTCACATCCGCAGACACACACCTTTACCTGCTGTGTTGTTCCTGGTAAACTACTTTTAAAACAGATGAAGTCATCTAATTAAATAAATAGATGACTTATTCTATTTATTATGTTGCATTATTAAAATTGAGAATACGCAGTAAAACAATTATAACATTTTATTTGTATTAAGTTTATCCATGTCATATGAATAATAACAATAGGATCCAGGCACAGGATAAAGAGGCTGGTTGAAAATGGGAAACAGGGAAACACAAAGCCTTAATCCAGATCTAAAGGAATGAGGGGTTGCACAGGGTCTGACAAAGAGATATAATATGATACTCTCAAAATAGTGGGTTTATAACTATCTTGCTTGTGTCCCTGTGTCCCTTTAGTACCCCTTGGTAATTTTTATGTTAATCACTGGAGAGATTTACCAGCTCCTCAACTTTGCCTCCTTTTCACGCTGGCTCTTCATCGCCTTGGCAACCTTGGGGATGCTCATACATCGATATCGTTTTCCTCTCCACCCAAGACCTTTTAAGGTTAGCATACTGAACTAAAAAAAACCTCCCTTTATCTTACTGCTGCACACTACGCTGACCAACTTGTTTTATTTGTTGCAATGTGAAGGTGCCCTTGGTCATTGGAATCGCCTTCACAATGGTCTCCTTCTTCATTGTGGGTCTGTCTCTTTACTCTGACCCCTGGAACACAGGACAAAGTTGTGCTCTAACACTGACTGGTGTTCCAGTTTACTATGCTACTGTCTACCGCTTTCGTTTGCCGCGTAGATGCAGGCGCATATTTGGTAAGTTGTACCAATATTCTTCTTCAGAATGTATTAACATGATAGTTTTCATCATGGGTCTGAATTTAGTGGCTCTATTTTTAATATTAAACATAGGCATTTTTGGTACAGTGTCAAATGATCATATATGCCTGCTTGTTTTTTTAAGAAGGAAGAGGATGAGTGAAATCGAGAAATTTAGTTGCTTGTAGTGAACAAATTAGATAATTCTGACTTTCCTCAATTCTCCCAGACTACTGCAGCAAACAGCTACAGATCCTTCTAGAAGTGGCTCCACAGGAAGTCCAGACTTACTGAAGACCAAAAAGGCGTCCTGCATTCTACTTGCAGACTACACGGATACTACCTGGACAAAACATTAAGAAGACATTTTTAACAGTTTAAACAAATGTTTCAATTTGTACTACTTTTATATAAAGAGCCACGTGTTTAGAGAAACTAACTGCACTAATTATGCAGGTATGTAGTGTTTATACCGGAGGCCTTACAAAAAAAAAAGTACTTAAAGTTTCAAAGATGCACTCAAAATGTTCATTTTGAAACGTTAGTTAAAATGACATTTTTGAACAGACAACCTATGATAGTTTAAACCTTTATTGAAATATAAACAGAAATAAGCAGTCTTGCTACACAGTTTTTCAAATAAAATACGTTATGTGCAAAAGGGTTCATTGCTGTATTGAAGAATATTTCAGGGTGTAGAAATTACGCCTTGTCTCTACACATGAATTGAATTTGATCTGAGCAAGACAATAGATCAAAGTTTGCTTATCCCCAAAAGCATAAGTAACAAATCTTCATGTTATATGAGGCACCAACACATTGATTGTTGTCTTAGAAACACAGAGTTTAGTCAGGTACAAGGTCTGAAAACTGCTAGAAACCACAACATTTCACTCCTGCATACACAAGGACAATTACTGTGAGAATTTATGAAGTCATGTGATAAAGACAGTTCTACAGTTAAATAAAGAAACAGTCCTGTTCCTGTTAGTGCTATTCGTCAAGGCCTATTACTAGCAATCCTCCATCACAATCTATTATTCTAAGTCAGCTCTAAGATGCTGACTCAAACTGCAGTGAAGCATCTTGAAAATATCCTTTAAAATTTATGTAGAAGCTAAATTATATATTAAAATGTGCAAATCAACATACATATACACTTACATATTTATCTTCTTATGCATGTTCTTCAAGAAGACAGACAAATAACACAACAAAGGAAAACCATAAAACACAAAGAGGCCCAAATATGTGAAGAAATTTAAAGAAAAAGAAGTGACACAGAGGCAATTATTGATTGATCCAATGAATGAAAAAGTCAGAGAAGTAAAACACATCAAACAGTAATTGAAACTGAAGCATTCCTGCAATCTATTTATCAATGTTACATTTTCCCCCTCATGTGGTAGCCAGAACCCTCCAGCAGCAAAGCAAATGTAAAAGAAACTTGAAGCTAAAAGCTCCTAAACTACTGCAAAAAGGAGGTCTGAATAAGTCTCCAATAAGAAATTTAAAATACATGCTTCTGAATATTTGACAACCAGAGTAAATTAGAGCACTCTAGAGCACTAGAAATTTCTTCCTACATCAACAGCCTCGCCTTGTATTGAGAGAAATCCTCTTCAATATGGACAAGTCGGATGGTTTAGTGTCAGATCTAGATTTGTTTCTGTCTTGCTGCTTTGGTGTGCGCCTAAATCACATAGTCTTTACATAAAGAAAAAAAAGGAAAAAGAAACAGGTGACACTGCTTAGCCATAGAAAGTGTTTCAGCCCTCTGACTACTTCAACTGAGGGATTAAGTCAGACCAGCTGATGTTCGCCATACCAAAGTCGTCATCATCCAGACCAGAAAAGCTAACATCCAACAATATCTTGCTCAGGCTGTCGTTCATGGTATCCAAAACGAGGCCCTCTGTGATTGAGCGATTGGCTGCTGTGGAACTGCCTCCCTGCAGAAGCTCTCTGGAGCAGCTACTTTTGAGGCATTCGGTGGGCGACTCTGCTGGTCCGGTCACTCTGGAGGGAGCGGATGTGAGCAGCTCTCTTGGGGAGTTAAACAGAGGCAAGTCTTTAAAGGGAGTGCTGCTGAAGCTGAAGGTGGTGTAGTCATGTTGTGGAGTAACTGTGGGACCACCTGTTGTACGAATAGGGCTCAAGTGTAGAATATTTTGGCTTCCTTTGTCTACCGGGGTCACTTTAAAAGACGCAACATAAGAAGGTGGCTTGCTGGGGGTGGATGAGGTCAAATGGCTGCTACTTTTTATCGGGGTTTTGAATGAGAACTCCCTATCTGGGCTTTCCTGTCCGTGCTTGTCTTCATCCAGCTCAATGTGTGGATTGTCCTGGAATGTCGAAGCATCGGAGTCTACGCCAGAGTCAAAGAAATTACTTTTGTTGCAGAGGAGAACAGGCTCTTCATTCACAGAGAGAACCAAACGCTGTTTGCGCCGTGAGCTGCTGGCTTGTCTCTTTGGAGGAGCTTTGGGGGTCTCGCATTTAATTGGAACACATACCAGCTCCTCCTTCACTTCTACCTTAAAGTCCGTATTCTTCTGAGGAGATATCATCACAGCTGGGGAATCACTTTGTGTCACCTGTCAGACATGCAACCATTCCCATTAAACTCTTAGTGGTATGGGTGAAGTTCATACTCATCTCTATGCACATAATGTTGTCAATGTAAACTGTAGGGAGTTCCAAGAAATACTTGTTTTGAAAAGCAGTTTGCAACTTGCATAGCTTATGAAGTAAAACAACAACAACAACACATTTTTAAAAAGCTGAAATATTTGAGAAATTCCTTACCTTCGGTGCTATGCGGACTCTCTTTGTTCCTCGTGAATTGTTCCCATTCTGCTGGGAGCAGGGCGGAGGAAAAGGGGTAGAAGTGGAAGGCAGGTAGACAGAAGGAGTGACGGGGAGCTGTATGGGCACCAAGTACGAATCGATTCGAGGCAGAAGAGGTTTCATCTTTCTCTCTGAACACAGAAAACACAACAACATTGCACTACACATTTCCAAACTAAACAGCAATTTCTATTAGTTT